TGTGTGTGTGTGTGTGTGTGTGTGTGTGTGTGTGTGTGTCTCTGTGTGTGTGTCTCTCTGTGTGTGTGTGTGTGTGTGTGTGTGTGTCTCTGTGTGTGTGTGTGTGTGTCTCTGTGTGTGTGTGTGTGTGTGTGTGTGTGTGTGTGTGTGTGTGTGTGTGTCTCTGTGTGTGTGTGTGTGTGTGTGTGTGTGTCTGTGTGTGTGTGTGTGTGTGTTGTGTGTGTGTGTCTCTGTGTGTGTGTCTCTGTGTGTGTGTCTGTGTGTGTGTGTGTGTGTGTGTGTGTGTGTGTCTGTGTGTGTGTGTGTGTGTGTGTGTGTGTGTGTGTGTCTCTGTGTGTGTGTCTCTGTGTGTGTGTCTGTGTGTGTGTGTGTGTGTGCACTGGATACATTCCTTTTGTCTCTGAGGTGACAGAGACACAGAGGAGTCTTTGACTCCACAGCTCACTCTGGAATGTGCGACTTTGTGACTTTGTGACTTTGTGACTTTGTGACTTTGTGACTTTGTGACAGAAGTAGAGCGTGCAGAGTTCCAACACTTTAGACTTTAATGAAATGGTGTTAACCCTTTCAGTCGGTGTCTGCACAGAGCAGACTCTGAGACCAGCTGACCTCAGAGCTGAAGCTGCACACCAACAGTCTCCAGTGTCTATGTGTTTCATCTCTATGTTTGTCTTGCTTCTTGGACCAGCGGCTGACCCTCCATGGCTCCATCAATGACTCAAGCCCGGCGTCTGCACAGAATCGCTCCTTTGTGCCCGTGAAGAATGAGTCCTGTCTGACTTTTTGGAAACAGCAGCAGAGAAAAAAGGGGGGGGGGGCATGAGGGACTGAGACACATTTCAAAGTTGACGTGTGATTTATGTTTCCTTTTGTTCTTTAATGATTCATCATGAGGTCAGAATATTCTATACTACACAACATGTTTTAAAACAGAACGTCTTCAGAGAGAACGCGCTGTAAATCACACAAACATTGTGCAACGATCATTTCAAACAAACAATAATCCAACAATAGGACAACTTCCATTTTGGTTGCCGTGGTAAAGTTCTTTTCCAAACGTCTTTTCGGCCGTCGCAGGTCGGGGGCACGTTTCAGCGACACACTGAAAAGAACCACGAGAAGATCTGAATAAGATTCTTAACCCGGAGAGTTAATGTGGAACAAACATGAGGCTTACACAAATAAAGAGGAGGAGGGAAACGATGAGGCTTATCGTCACTGGGAGAACTTGTTTCTGATTCATGACCTGACAGAGACGGTTACCATGGAGACGACGTGGAGGACCACACAGAGTCTGTATGAGGATAAAGTTTTTACAGCCTCTTACTGTAAAAGGTTTCTAAATGTCTGTGTCACAGCTGAGACGAGTCAGAACCAGAACTTTCTTTTTATTGTTCACTTTTGGAGCCACAGTTGGGATTTGAACCCGGGCCGCCTGCTTTGAGGACCACAGACTCCGTACATGGGGAGTGCATTAACTTATTTTTATAAAACATACAACTTCAGGAGATGCTTTTCACTTACACTTCAATCCTAACATGTCATTTTACCAAACAACTACACATCCATATCCACACACACATCCTTTCCTTCATATCGACATTACAGAGACATTAACTTACATACATATATATAACCACACATAGCCTTCACATCATTTTTCAATCCTTTTTCCTTGATTAACTAACGACTTCTGCAAACATATTGGTAATTTGCTATACAATAGACAAGTGCATTTAAAGTAAAATAAATAAATTAATTTAATTTAATTTAAAATAAAAATATTTAGAGGTGACTAGAGCCCAGACATTACCTGCATCACTGGAGATTTATATCAAATCTTTGTTTTCAGCTGTAATCTGGCTGTGATTGTTTCCCTGATGAAAACATTTTTGAATCTTTGTCTCCACTGAGTTATGTTGGGAGGCTGTGGTTTCATCCAGGACGCTGTTATTGTTTTCTTTGCTATTAATAGCAAAATTCTAAGCAAGGAAATCAAGTCTCTGTTGGTATCAGGAGCTATACCTAAAATAAAGAGTGAAGGATCCAAGATCAGAATCTGACTTATTTCTTTTTGTACATTTCTCCAAAAGTCTACAACTTTTGGGAAGTCCCAAAACATGTGTGTAAAATCCCCCACTAGTCCACATCCCCTCCAGCACACCTCAGAAGTACTGCTGTATTTTCAGGTGATGGATGGGGTGTTAAAGTATTACATTTTGACTTTCCAGTCAAACTCCCTCCACACAAGACGATCACTTTTATTAGTGTTTTCACACAAACTCAAAAGTCCTGAAATGTTCCTCAAACTTTCAGACTGAGCTTCAACACAAAAGAACAATTTATTCTCCTCAACTTCATCCTGCTAACCCCCTGAAAGTCAAACGGCGTCCTGATCCACTCATTTAACCTCTAAGCGTGTAAAGTGAGGCCCCTCCCCCTGAGGTTGGCGTCTGAATTACAGGGCGTTACAGAGTGCTCCACCACACTTCAGCAACAAACACACAAACCACTGCACAACACTTTCTGCACAAACATATTCAAAAATAACAGCATGCTAAATAAAAGTGCCTGGAAACGGGGACATGGTTTCATACCAGAGGAGTCATTTTGAGCCCCCGCGTGTTTGTTAACTCATACGTTCACTTTACGGTAAGTTACTGTAATATCCAGAGGGGAATGTTTTCAGACCAGCTGCCACGTTCACTTTTGTTTTTCTGTTTGGACTCCCGTTTTAGAGACACCAAGAAAACATTCAGCAGGAAAGCAACATTCCTCTGAGGAGTGATAACCATCAGATGGAGAGGTGGCGTGGTCAGACTCACCTCAACAATAGAGTCTGAAATAACTCAGAAGATTCTCCACCAGACAGAGATGATGACAATGATGGAGAGTTTCAAAAAGTACAGAGGCTTAAAACAATAAAATACAGCTTCAGTCGTATTTAAATCTGCGAGTTAAACTGAGCTCGCTCTAAAGAGAGAGAGTAAGAGAGCTGCAGAGAAACCATCGCTCTTCTGCAGACATTTAAAACTCTTAATTCATAAAAAAATTTGATACAGGAAGTATGGGGGTCCAAGGTGAATTCTCCTGATTATATCCTGCTGTGTTCTCACATCAGCTCACTCTGACTTTCTGCAGAATAAATATGAGGAGGCTGGAGGAGAAACTCCGGGTGAAGAGAGAAACATTCAGATGTTTGTGTGATCACATGACGCTCAGCATCAACATATCAGGAGGTCTCAGGAGGTTTCTGCAGGTGTATACGCCGCCTTTGATTCCACGGCAACAAACATAGAAGTGACCAGGCAGCCAATATTGGTCATTTGTTTTTATTCATAAAAATGCAGGCAAACTTCTACACTCAGATTTGTCGGTTGTTTTAAACGAGGTGTTTGCACATCCAACTATCTCGTGATTTAGGTGTGTATATGACATCTACACGACCACATAGAAAAGATCCCGCAGCTGGAGACGCTCCTGGTTTGAAGCAATACAGAGTTTAGAAACAGGATCTCTAAGCGGGTCATTTCATTAAGATTGGATGAGTCCATGAGAAGTAAAACTGTGAAGCTGTGATCTTTACTGAAAAATGTTCCAGATGGTTTGTAAAAGAGAAACAGTTCAGTAAAGTGTTAACGTCTACACCTCGTTTCTCTTCTTTTGGCCTCTAAAGCAGCGAGCTCTGACATTACAGAGCTCTATTGTCTCTGAGCCAACACTCGGCTTCCTGACGCTCAGAATCCACGGAAACAGGAGCCCGATCCAAACAAAGACCCAGGGGGCCACTTCTTTCATACCCCCCCTTAAACCCAGCCCTCCATACAGATAAACCAGAGCAACACTTTGCTTATAATGTTACTCATGCACATCTGGATTTTATGAGACCTGGATCCATCCGAGCAGAAAGAGAGACGCTTTACTCTCGTTCACCTCTGAAGGTTAAAAACAACCAGCTACCTCCAGTCATGAAACATGAAGAAGCTGCTGAAGTGTAAAAGCCTGCAGTTCCTGGAGTGTCCACTAGAGGCTGGCTGCAGAAGCACAGGAAGTCACATACACACCCATTCTAAAAAGCCTGTTTTTACAGCAGAGATGAACATGTTTACAGCCTGGTTCAAAAAACCAAATAGGTGTGATTATCTCATGTCTCCATGGACACACACTGTACGGGGGGTGAATGTTTTGATGACTCATCAGTTTTGATTTGATGAAGGATAAGAGTTATTCACAATAAGGCGTGTAGCTGACCTGATTGACAGGTGGGCGCGGTGTAACGGTTTGTCAGGAGGTTTAAAACCCGCCTCAGCTCCAGCTCTCAGCCTGTCGTTAGGTTGACTGAAAGTTAGACTGAGACAGCATTTCCAGCATGGAGACCGCCATCGATGGGACTCCAGCGCCCCCTGCAGGAACAGACGGGGGACGCCATCGATGGGACTCCAGCGCCCCCTGCAGGAACAGACGGGGGACGCCATCGATGGGACTCCAGCGCCCCCTGCAGGAACAGACGGGGGACGCCATCGATGGGACTCCAGCGCCCCCTGCAGGAACAGACGGGGGACGACACTCAGGCTTCATCCATAGACTGCACACACAGAGCTTCTCTGTTTCTACCTCTGAAACATTTCATTTTTATGGTTTGTGAAATATTTTTGCGATTCATACATTTATTTTTTTTTTTGCCATCTGTGAAATATTTTTCCAGCTGACCTTCAGGGCCACCGTACCTCGGACTTATCTAGCAGTTAACAGGCAACAAAGCTGCGCGCTGATATGAAGTTGTTCATTATGAACTTTGCTAAAGAGTGAGGTGAAAAAGATCCTCAGAGGAGAAAGATCAACTCTTTTCTGATCTGAGATGAATATCTCTCAGCTACCTCTCACTTCCGGTTGATTGCAGCGTATTTTAGCACATGCTCATTAGTCGTTAACGCTCCTTCCTCTTCCTCCTCCTTCTCCTCCTCTTCCTCCTTCTCCTCTTCCTCCTCCTCTTCCTCCTCCTCCTCCTCTCTGCAGCTCAGAGTCTCTGCAGCTCTGCACACTTCACGTCGGAGCGGAGAAACGGAGGAAAGTGATGCTGAAGTTTTAATGATTTGAAGGTAAGAGTGTTTGTCTGTCTCTACAAAGAACGTAACAACATCTGAAAACATTAACCTGTTCAACAATCTACATCAGAACATATCATGTCTCTTTCTGACTGTCTGCTGTTTGTGACATGTTGTTTTTAACATCAGATATCTGTTTGCAAAGCTCGTCTATATTTGTAATACTTTGATAATTCTCTATAGGAGGTGATTCAAAACTGTACACTCTGTTATTTAACTGATCCAGATGTTCAGTCATGTGTTGAACTCTCACTCTGGGGCTTTGTGGTCTAAAAGAGGGAAATATGGACCTCCAAGCTTCTAGAATATCCTCAGTTTGAACCTTGCTGCCTTCAGGTGCTCCTCAGAAACATCGTAGTTAACATATTCACCACGAGTTACGAGCACATGAACGCACTTCCAAAGTCGTAATTACAAGGAGGAAACTTTGATGCCGAGTTGCCAAGTTGAGACATTTGTGTGATTTTCCCAAAAGACAGAGAGCTCTGTAAATATTACTGAGTGACGTCACCAGTCTGTTCCTGCTGGGGGCGCTGGAGTCCCAGGCTTTTAGAATGGGTGTGTATGTGACTTCCTGTGCTTCTGCAGACAGCCTCTAGTGGACACTCGAGGAACTGCAGGATTTTACACTTCGGGATCTGCTTGCTCTGTACACTCTGCGTTTGTGCACAGTCAGTGTATGAATTATTCCAACTCGTTGATTGAAAGGATTGATTACGGGATCACAGCTGAGTGTAAATAAGCTGTCGTCTTTCTTCATGACATCAAGTGACCACAGGCGGAGCTCTAAAGTGTGAATCAGTCAGAGAACATTTCTAAAAGCTGCTTCAGACTTTGAATGCTCTGTTCAGAGTCTGCAGCGACCTTAAAGTCCTTCCTCATCAATGTTTACATCATGTAACGTACATCCTCTTCTGCAGCCTCACTTCCTGTTCCTTCAGCTGTTTTTGGATCATTTTTTAACGCAACTTGCTGTTGAAATATGAAGTGTGAGCTCTGTATCACATGTCGTTGTGACAGCCGTACACTCGGCACAGCTCCACACAAAGCCGCCTTGTTCTTCTCTGAAAACATCGGAATCAGTCGCTCAGCATTCTCATGAAGCAGAACGACAGAACAACTGTTGAGGAGTCATGCCAGCTCTCAGATCAGCACGTTGGCAGACGGTCAGCGAGGGTTTGAACATCCAGACATCTGCTGAATGATCCTTCTGTCATGTTCAGTCTGTGTTCCAACAGAGCTGCTGCTGCTGACGTTCATCCTGCTCAGAGAACAACAAACAAAACACCAAAAACACAAAAAACACCAAAAACACTAAAAACACCAAAAACACCAAAAACACAAAAAACACGAAAAACACGAAAAACACTAAAAACACTAAAACGCCAAAAACACCAAAAACACTAAAAACACTAAAAACACCAAAAACACTAAAACACTAAAAACACGAAAAACACTAAAAACACTAAAACGCCAAAAACACCAAAAACACTAAAAACACTAAAAACACCAAAAACACTAAAAACACTAAAAACACCAAAAACACTAAAAACACTAAAAACACTAAAACGCTAAAAACACTAAAAACACTAAAAACACTAAAAACACTAAAACGCCAAAAACACTAAAAACACTAAAAACACTAAAAACACCAAAAACACTAAAAACACTAAAAACACCAAAAACACCAAAACACCAAAAACACCAAAAACACTAAAACTCCAAAAACACTAAAAACACTAAAAACACTAAAAACACCAAAAACACTAAAACTCCAAAAACACTAAAAACACTAAAAACACTAAAAACACCAAAAACACTAAAACTCCAAAAACACCAAAAACACTAAAAACACCAAAAACACTAAAAACACCAAAAACACTAAAAACACTGAAAACACCAAAAACACCAAAAACACTAAAAACACTAAAACGCCAAAAACACTAAAAACACTAAAAACACTAAAACGCCAAAAACAGTCAAATTGAAAACAGGTTGAAAACGTCCTTTCTAGACATCATGACATGGTGATAGCGTCTTGCAGCCTAAGACGTCTAAAGTGATTAAATCTTCACCTGAATTTTAATTTTGATATGATTTGAGTAAACATCAAACAATACTAGATTGATTCAGAGCTCCCGCTGTGCTTCAATGTAACCTCACAGACCGGGATGCCAACATCACGTAGTCACAGAGTGGATGCTCTCACAGGTCACCATGTGGTGGACTCTGAAGCTTCAGTGTTTATCCAGCTCTGCATGGGTCTGTAAACCTTTCTGTGTTCTAACCTCTCTCCATTTTTCAAAAGCATCTCCAATATTGATCCTAGTTTGAGCACGTTTCTGCTCGTGGAGCTTATTAGAAACATGCAGAGGCTTTTTAGGTCGGGTACAAT